CCCCCCCTTGGTGTTTGCCATCGGGGTTGGGTTTTCGTCGCTTGGCAACGACGTTGTAAAACAAGCCGATCACTTCGTGAGCTCGGCAACCAGGTTACCGCTTTTTTTTTCTCTCTGTTTTTTTTTGCGCTAACCATAATGGTGGTCGAGTAGATCATGCTGTGCGGGGTCGATCACCCTCACTCCGCGCAAAGGGGGTGATCGCACCACGTTGTGTTCAGTTGGCCAAGCACCCTCGAGGCAGGTACACAGTGCTTATTACTGTCTCTGGAGGTGAAAGCACCAGAAAATAATTGAAGTCATACGCAGCTGTCATCCGTACGCAAGGAAGTAAGCACAAGATTCCGAACACCCTCAGCAGGATGCAGCGCACCCTTCATGCGACTCGCCGAATACGTCACGGTGCTTCGCGCTTGATGATGTAAGGCCTGGTCCGGTGAGAACCCGGCGAACCGGACAACACAGGGTGCCGAGATGAACTATGATGCTACTTGCGGTGTGACATGCGGGTTCGAGAATGGAACTTGTCGTGAAACCTGTATTGACATTTTACTGGGGCAAAGACAAAGGACAAAGTAGGCACAGACAACGTCCCAGCCCCACGTCGGTCCTCACACAGCTCGCTTGGCAAAAGAATGAATGCATCAGCATATTTCTGCTAAGTGCAAGAGATGCACATCGATTTTGGTGCACACTCGTGGTGGTTTCCACTGACGATGTTCGATACCGAGTGCTACAGCAGTAGTGTCTTTCAGTTGGGATGTACGTTGGTCTTTATTTTTTCACCCCTTTCCCGAAAAATTTGGTGCGGACATGTTGTCACGAGAAAAGATGTGCACAACAACATGCGATTGCTTGAGGCGCTTCAGTATAATTTTTTTCAGCGTGGAGATTCTACGTTTGCACCCAATCTTGGGCTGATCCGTCGCTCAGTGTGTCGTGGACCACAGCTTGAGCGAGGAGAACACCTAGGGAGTGCAACGTTGTGTATTGGTTTGGATAGATTTTTATAACATAACCCCGGGAAGGTTGAGACACCACTGTATATGTATCAATTCGTTGTCGAACACACATCCGGACGGACGCTCCTGGTGTGTGGGTTCGTTGATTACACCGTAGAAATCACCCGAGGAGAGGGGATGGCGTAGTCGAATACATCGAGGGTGGGCCATTTTGTACATGCTAGGCAATGATAGAGCTGGCTCACCTTGTGTCGATGATACTCGTGTATCACATTAGCGTCCATCTCATTCCTGGGCAAGTCCACGGTGACATTTGATTTGTACATCGCAGTGACATGTGCGCGCAACGCTGGCGGATCTTGGATGTGCTGGACACACTCGTACAGCTCTTTCTGCGTTCGAAACCGACGTACACACCCAACGACGGGGGGTGAAGGTCGGGAACGTGTTAGTTTAGGTAGAACGACATCATCTCACGAGCAACAAACAGCAACTTGGGCAACCTTCTATGTTCCGGTCCGCACCTACGAGTGAACTTGAAAATATTTTCAATGTGTCGATTGATATAGCACTACAACCCCTTGTTTCGTAAAGCGCAAGTTTACTCACCTGGAGGCGCCCGCGCGAAGCCTCTTGGTCGGCAATTCGTTTTCGTTGGTCCAAATTCTGGGCCTGCATCCCGTCGAGCTTTTCACGAAGCTCCCCAATAAGCAAGTCTAGTTGAGCATTACTGTTATGAAACTGGAGGCAAGCGGAGAGGGCGACGGACGTCCCTGTTTGTGTATCGTGGTCTTGCTCACTACTTGAGAACCTAATTTATTCCCGCTTCTACTCCGTCGTGTTTAACATATGCCCAACATCAATATCCCCATGCACCATACAATCCTCAATTTCCTCTTCAAAGTGATCAATGCATCCTTTCTATGCGCGGAATAGATGCATACTGTATACACCCTCGGCTACGTAACAAGTGGCTCGCGCTCAAGTCTAGATTACGGGAACCTCTTGTTACACGAGATGCCCGCAGACTACACTAGGGCACCGGGCGTCGTCTTCAAAACTTTCACAGACGATCAACCTGGTACCAAAGGTCACCTGTTCAAGCTCCCTGTCCATCTCCTTGATCTGTTCCTTCATGCTACCGATCTCTGTCTCGCGAGGCTCAATCTGGCGCTTCAGCTCTTTGATTTTGAAGTCGAGCACAAATTTGAATTTTTCCAGCTGGGCGAAGAGACGAACAGGATGAATGTGTGTCAAGACGCGTGAAGCACTCATCCAGTCGGCAAATAAAGAAAGGGGAAAAAGGAGTACCAGCCTATTCACTGCTTGTACTGCAACTTGCCTCCTGGTTTTTTTTCTTGAGCTCATATATCTTTTTCTCCTTTTCTCCAATGGTGTCGTCTCTATACTTTATCTCTCGTTTATGGGCTACGATTTCTCGCTCCAGTCCTTTGATCTTCTGTTGGAGTTCTTTTTCTTTCTCGTGCAATGTCCTTATCTCCTCCTGTGGTCATAAGCAGTGCCAGTAGATGAAGGGCAAGGCGGCAGGTGTGGTGGGATCATGTTTACGCACGGCTGGGCGAACTGGTGCTTCTTTGCACTCCACAGGGTTTTTGCCATGTAGCCAACTGATACCCTCATGTCTTATTAGGGTAAGATGGTTGATGACGCCAGTGCAGAAAGCGTCAAATAATGCAGGACGTGGTTATGGACCAGTATCTGCTCGCGGGCTTGCTGAAAGCTACCATCACGAGTTGGCATCACCCCAAGCAGTGTTCTATTTTCGAACGCGCCACTTTCACCTTCTGATCTTCGATGTCCTTGGTCAAAACCGTGAATTTTTTCTTCATGATACCGTTCTCCCCTTTGTAGCGTAGAGTGGCCTCGCGTTCGGCAGTGAGCTGATTCTCAAACCGATTCCTACAACAAAAGCCACGGGTTGTGAAAAAGACATCAGTCAAATCGAACATCCACTGCCCATAGAGGAGGAGCATGTACGGAGATGGAAACCGACGCGTGAGATCAACTGACGACGCCGACAACTCTTTAAAGTCACAAGCACATCACCAAAGCGGCTTACCGCAAGTTGTCGATTTCCGTGTCAATGTCGTCCTCCACCTGGTGCTTTGTTTCAGTAAACTCTCTGTCGAGTTCCGTTTTCTCCTCGTGCAACTGAAGGCGCAGCTGTCGGTCTTCGCCAAGTTTTTGCTCGAACTCCTCGGTCAGTTCAGCAACGTATCTGTCTCGACGCATATGCCAATTCGTCAGTACTTGACACTAGCAAGCAAGCTTCCGTGTGACCATTGCGGTACAGTAGAGGTCCCTGTTTAGTGCCGGTTGAATAGTGCCGGTTGCCGCTATAGTGCCGGTCAAATCTCGGCGCACAGAACCCGCCCTGAATGGTGCCAGACCGGCACTATTCAGGGCTGCCCATTATAGTGCCGGTTCGGGTCCCACTGAACCCCACAATAGTGCCGCTTCAAGCACGCACGCACACACAACACAGAAGACAGACGGTCGTGTTTTTTTTTTCTTGTTCTGGCTACATCGAAGGAGGGTGACGAGGAGACAGATTTAGCTTCCTCCTTCACCAATAGGTTGTGCCAGCAGGAGCTCCGCAAAAGTGTTACCGCCAAAAATCCATGGANGGCGCACAGAACCCGCCCTGAATGGTGCCAGACCGGCACTATTCAGGGCTGCCCATTATAGTGCCGGTTCGGGTCCCACTGAACCCCACAATAGTGCCGCTTCAAGCACGCACGCACACACAACACAGAAGACAGACGGTCGTGTTTTTTTTTTCTTGTTCTGGCTACATCGAAGGAGGGTGACGAGGAGACAGATTTAGCTTCCTCCTTCACCAATAGGTTGTGCCAGCAGGAGCTCCGCAAAAGTGTTACCGCCAAAAATCCATGGACTTCATGATCAGTGGTTTGCTTTCGCTGTCGAGGAGTGATGTTGAGGTTGCGCGAAATGGTTTGATTCGCTCAAGGCCAGTGCCACGGCATTCTTGCCTACAAAATATTGGACATCTACGAGGTGCATCCTTTGCGATATTCATGTGAAGGGTTAAGTCAGGTTGTGCAAGTGTGCAGTACGTGCGCTGAGGTGGGTACAGCAACAAGGTGCAGCATGTGTGTCCCGTCCATTTAACTTACTAAGCAAAATACGTGTGTTCGACAGGGCAGGAACCACCCCTCTCGTGATACAGCAGTCTGCCCGCAACGCCCATGCCATGATCTCACCATGTACGTTTCATGTGGTAATCTGTTGGCCCCGCAAAGCAAAGCGCTGCGCTCTGAAATCACACAGTTTGTCAATAGTGCTGGGCTGGCACAATGGAGGGATTTTCAGACCCTGAAAAGACTAGTGCCCCTGTGGCCCTTTTCAGGCACTCTAAAGAATAGTGTCGGTGCCCGGTATAGTGCCGGTGAAATTTTTGCGCACACCCCGGTACCAAACAGGTACCTCTACTACTGTATGTTCAAGCAGAGTCAACTGTAAGGCATGCCTTCGGAAGGAAATTGAGTTGTCGCATGCTCTAGTCTACACAAACAACATTTCCTTTATACAGTAGTCACCTTTCGTGTGTCGTGACGAGGAGTTGCTGTTGTTCGTTCCACCGGTCTTGCTGCATGTTTCTCTCCTGGACAAGCGCCTGCGACAGCCATGCATTCGGTAAGGTGATGCGGCTAGATGTGCGACACATGGTAGGGAACCCGGCCTACAATCGGAAGAACGTTCCTCGTGCGGTGGTTGCGTTCTATACGCACCCAAATCATGAGAAGCATCAATCACCTGGTACCGCTCGACCTCGCCCATAATCTTTTGCTGGTATGCGTTTTCCAGCTCTTGCAGTTCGTGTTGATGTTTCTCGTCCATTTCTCTAAGGCGTGCCTCATATTCCATCTCCAAGTCACTTTTTTCTTCCCTGTTTTATTTGGCAGGTGGTTTCGGTTCAGCAGTATGGATTAGTCGGGCTTCGTTGCCGTCGATGACATTCCATGAGTTGGACAGCAGTCTAGTTTGAGGCTAGAAGATCGCTCCTCCCCCCTTCCGAAGATCCGCCGCCGGTCATCGAGACATACCTGAGGAGATCAAACTTGTTCTTGCTCTGTTCCAGATCTTGCGTGAATTTCTCGGTGATCTCCTGAAGTCATTGATACGAGGGATACATCGTTCGTTGGTGCTAGGTTGAGCGCTGCACGGGGGGTACGGCACGACGCAGTGCATGGAGCCTAAAACCAAGCCGTGCTGCGACGCACCTTGATCTTCTCAGAGTAGTTCATATCCTTCAGCCGGAGCTGATACTCATTGTGCAGAGCAAGCTCGTCGACCTTGTTCTTGAGCTCTACCATCAAAGCATTCTTGTCCTCCAGATTGCTCCTTGTCACCAAAATCTCCTGGGCAATGCGTACAACGCACAATGTACGAGGAAGTCGTCGATGGGAAAAGGAGAAAATTGAGCATCAACATTATGTCACGACTTGTAGCCAAGTTGCCCCACCGAATCCCCCAAGCTTCAGAAACTAAATACCTGTTTGAACCGTAACCTGTTTCGGCCTTCGCATAAGTTTGAACCACCTTGTCTTCTGCCAATACTCCCCGATTTTTCCATACTCCCCGAGCATTAGATCACGGCGCAGTACAAATTGAATCAACAGGACCGATGCACTTTCCGGTAGACAGTGGTCAAACAAATGTCGCCACAGAGAGCAAATAGTTGTTGCAAGTGCACGCAACTCAACAAACCTCAGACGCGGCAAGTGGCTGCAGCTCCCCGCCCCCCATCTTCGACCCCGCCTGTCCTCGATCTTGGCGATCTCGGACATCAAACACAAAAAGGCAGCTCGCTTCATCCGCCGCTAATAGAAACTGGTCATCGTGTGTGATGCACAGACGTGTAACTGGTGTGCCAACGCAAGCATACTGGCAAGAACGCGCGAACGCGCGAAGAGGCGGGTGGGACGTGGACGAATTAAAGCGATAAGAACGAACACCTGTAGTGGAGCTCTGTTCAAACTTAAACTTCAGCAGACAACCATGATTTCTGCACCAGGCGTTGAGCTACATTGGTACCTGTGCTGTGAGTCTCGTGAAGATATTTAGAGCGGTACAGCGTTACAAAATACCTCAAGGTAGTCTCCGGTAAGTGGGAAGCTGTATGCTCGCACACAACCTGGCCTCCCGCTCTCCGAAGTTCCGGCAAACATCATGTGCTCCGAGTTGGAGAGTACAATTTGCCCGAGCGTAACGCCAGCATTGAGCTCCTTGATAACTTGTAGATCAGGGACCTCAAGCTCTTTCAGCACTCGGTCATTGCCCACGGTAAACACTGATTCTTTCGTGCTGGGCGGTGGCACGGGGTAGAGTTGGCGTAGGTCAGCCGATACGATTAGCATGCTTGCTAGTTCGGGTTCAGCGGTTGTTCGTGGCACAAAACTGAAACTGAGGGAACAACCCCGGACTGACCTGAGGGCACAGCTGTAGGTTGTCCCTTTCTGTACGAATTCTCCCAATCGCTTGGCTTCGTCGACATCCCACTGGTACACTGCTCCATCCTGTCCACAACTCACAAGAGTTTGATCTTGCCCCCCCCAGTAGAGATGCCGAACCTGAAATAACAGGATTGGAAGTCTCGATCGGCTTTCGTGATACAGTTGGGAAGATGAATAGTCTATATTCAAACAGGATGCGGCGTCCAGAGATGCAGGATCCGTCAGGCCTAAAGAGCATGGAAGAGCATACACTCACCTTGCTGTTGTGTCCACGAAGGTCCGCGAGCTTGTCGTACGTGTTGAAGTCAAAAATAGTTACAACGTTTCCGTTGACCGCTGCGAACATGCTTCCACCTTTGCTGAACTTGACCTCTCGGCATTGTTTGATAGAAAACTCATGATAAGTCCGAATGTCATCCATCAAAAGATTCATAAGGCGGAGTTTGTCCGTGAACCCCACTACAAGATGCAGCCCTGACGGATGCATCGCAAGACTGTACGGCTCCTCCTGGAACACCTTCCAAAGATCCAGCCGTTGTTCCACGACATTCCACACGCGTATGGTTCGGTCCATGCCGCAGGTAGCCACCAGAGGCTTACGAACACAGGTGTCCATACCCGTGATCCCGCCAGTGTTGAGACCAGGCCCGTGGAACAGGGATATGACCGGCTTCATGTCGCTGTCTTTAATATGTTGAGTGATTATCTTCACCTCGAACAACTGGTTGTCAGAGGTCACCGCACACAGTCGGTCCTCATTCGGGCACAAGGCGAGGCTTACCTGAATCATGTCGTGCGTGGATGACAGAGGCATGGATCAACGCGCAAGATAACGAGTGCTTGGCTGGTGCAGTGGCGTTTCGCTTATGGACGTGTCTCTGAGCGTTCTATTTTGAGCACGTCTGCGCCCATGCGAAGAAATAAAATGGTTGCCCGTGTCGAGAAACTGACTACTCCGTATGTAGCACACATAACTCGATTGGACCCAAAAGTATGCATGCGATATTGTTGTATTCGTGCTCACCACGTCAGCCGTTGTGTCCACCCGCCATATTTGCTTGCAGTCAAACATTTTCGCGGGACTAGGATTCTCCGTATGATCCATCACATATAAGCGCAGCCCTCCGTCGGAGCATCCCGCAATGAAGCCCTTTCATACCCACGAGGAAAACGTGGTGGGTTGTGTCTGTCATATATCATCGTGTAGATTGGTGCCCGCAGACGTTAGCGAAGACAACCAAACGCACACAATGACACGATGTGGTGCGGTTTAGTACTACTCTTTGAAGACTGCACGGCGTGCATACCTGTGAGTACGAGAGGAGTGTCGCGATCTTCGTTTGGCCGCCGGGTGCACCAACCAGGTAGCACACAAAATCGCCAGATCTGAAAAGCAACAATTGGCCGGTTTCTGTCCCCAGAACAAGGTGATCCTCGGGTTGCTTTAGCCACGTGTGGCACAAGAAGTTGTGCTCCTTGACCCGTGGTGCTGTCATTGGCCGCAGATCACCTTCGGCCACACGGTAAAACTGGAAAGTTGAGTTTCCACAAACGCAAGCCAGTGAAGTATCCACAGGGCTGAAGCTGACCTGCTTGGCAACGCATTCATTCATGTTTGAATTTTCATTTTGTACAAGAGACGTGTAAAAGACGCATGTACCACATGCGCACGTAGAGGGCAAGACCAACAACTGTAATACGGTGCACCCATAGCTTCATATACGGATAGTGAGCTACAATATTGAACACGGAACATACCGACGTTCGTGCACGAGCGGGAACGTCACGATCTTAAGGTTTGAAATACCTGGTAGACAGGGAGGGTCTCAGATGTCCGAATTTTGGCAAGTTGGCGCGCCTTCGCCCAGTTCCATAGGACAAGGTTCCACTCAGGAGCCCCACCTTGAGTAAGCAGTACATTACTATCGTGACTAAAAGCCAGGCTTACGCATTGACTTCCGCCCTCCTCAACTTGTAGTGTCTTCCGTATCCGGAGCGTCCGGAGGTCGTGAAGTGAGACCTTCGTGCGTTCGTTGATCGCAGGCGGCGAGAATGCGCGTTTTGGTCAACACGGTGAATCGTCGAAGTCGCTTGGTTAGATTACATGCGCATGGCCATTATAAATAGGACGAAGACACACATATGGACAGGCGGTCAGCGCGGCCGATGCTAAGAATAAAAACACACATGGGCAGACAGATCTACTGTAGTGCAATTTTGTGTCGTCTAGACTATGCGCCACACGTATGTAATGAGATACACTCACCGTCGGCTTGTCGCCGTCTTCAGCCAACGCGACGAATCGCGCAGAAGGACACAGCGTCATGGCTGTTATGGATTTTGATACGTCTGATCCATGGATGAAGCGCTGCTTTCCCTCTAGGATGTTGTAGATGACAATGTTATGTCCGGCCACGTACACGATCGTGACTTGGTCAGAAAACGCAACCTCGTTGGAGCGGCTCCCTTTCACACCGAAGACGAACCTGTGAGATAAACAAGAAGACATCCCTCTCACCAAGAAGGTTACTCCGAGTATTTACCGCCCGCCTGGCGGAAAGGGGAAACTTGGAGCCGAGGAGTTTTCCGATCTTTTTATTAATACCGGACATAACCCTCCCTCTCTTCGCACGCGGGCTTGCACCTTCTCTACGATTGTGGGTCCTGCTCGCCCGAAAATACACGGCCGTTTCGATATCAGAAAACTACAACGCCACCAGTGACAAGACATTGTGAACACCGTTATCAGAACCAAAAAAAGCCCCCGCGTGTGTTTGCCGACTTTACTAGGCCTGTCCTCCATCGGCCGTTTTTTTTTCCTTTTTCGGCCGCTGTTTTTTTTCTCTTTCGGCCGCTTTTCTTCCTTTTTCGGCCGCCCCAATTTTTTTTTCGGCCACCCCAATGTGTGCCCGTACTAGCCCGTACAGGTACCCTTTTAACACCCTCTCGTGCATCCTATGCTTGTTGCGCAAGATGGATCGGGGCTCGTCCATTTATCTGTGTTCTTTGGAAGTAAATAACTCTGTGTCTAGTCGCAGTAATGCACCGGTTTATCACTAGTCATCATTGAGAAAAAGAGTACTATTTCATACCATACGCCTCCGAAGCCTACTCTTTCGTGTTTCATCTCTCATGTCGTCTATTGCCCGTCGCTCATGTCCACGTCTACCACCCCCGCCTCCGCGCTAGCCCCTCCACCGCCAGGCCCCTTCTCCTCCTCCTCCTCCTCCTCCTCCCCGTCCCCCTCCTCTTCCTCCCCCTCTGCTTCCCCTTCCTTCTCCTCTGCTAATTCCTCCTTGTCATACCGCAGCTTCAGAGAATGCCTATCCCTTCCTCGGTTGTACTTGATGAGGGCGGCAGCCATGATCCTGTCTGACAAGCAGCTGTTCTGACTTGAGTCTAAGCAAGAGCGTACTGTCGAAAACACGCGCTCCATGAAAGCCGACGAGGGTTGCACTAGAGCAATGTCCAACACTACGGCGAACCACGTCGGGAGTTTCTCTTTGTGGTCCTGCCAGAACTGCCAAAAATCGTCGTCTCTGTCCGTCACGCGGGCGGCGACATGGTAGTCGTGTTGCTTATCTCCTCCTCCTCTTCCTCCTCCTCATCGCTGTACTCTACGAGCATGTTCTTCTGTGTGCTGGATCCCCTCATGTGTGTGTGTGTGTGCCACGTGCTACCGTGTGCGGACTGCGTGCTGCGAGTTGCGAGCTATGGGCGAGCTGGAAGCTGGAAGTTTTTTGTGTTTTTTTTTTGTTCAAGTGCGGAGACGCGGAGACCACCGCGCAAGTGAAAAAATGTTCGAAAAGGGTAGGTAGGTACGTAGGACTCCCCACAGCATTGAATTTATGGGGGGGGCAGGGGGGTGGCCCATTGAAATCGGACATTGGCCGTGGCCGATTTGGAATCGGCCGTAGCCGACTAGGAATCGGCCGTAGCCGACTGACATTCGGCTATCCCCTGGCCAAAATCGGCTGCTTTGTTTGCAAAATCGGCCACTTTGTTTGCAAAATCGGCCGTTTTTTTTAGCGGCCGTTTTCCGGCCGAAATTTTCAGAAATCGGCTCTTTCGGCCGCGGCCGATGGAGGACAGGCCTAGACTTTACCCCAGTGTTATTGGGTTCAGGATATTTTTTTAATGCGCCGCTGGTGTGCAGACCTCATACAAAAACACGCCTCCTCCACAGGCCCTGCTAACTGGGCTACCGTGAGACCGTGGCCAGAGACTTGACGGAGAGGTGGAAAGCTCAGCTGGAAGGCAGAGGTCGACTGGCAAGAACGCCAAGGTTGCGTGGATCAAGTATGTGGCTACTGATATTGCCCATTGATCAAGCGTACAAGGCTGCTGGTGACTAGCTTTTGGGGTATGGCCGAGGTGGTCTTGGATGGCCTTGGAAATCACGCCGCAGCGCAAGTCTCACCGCCCATCACGCGGTGCTCATGGACAGCGCTCCTTGTCTCTGCCTCTCTGCGAGAAGAAGATTTCTGCTGGACACACACAAGTCCGCGCTTGATTTTGATAGTCGGCACTGAAAATTGTGGCGGAGTTCGAATAGTGGGGAACACACCACCTGCCTGTTCGTGTGTTGGATGCTGCTGTGTATCATGTGTCGTGGTACGCCCTACAATTCAAGTTGGGCCAGCGAGCACACCGCCCAAAAGTTTACGCACATCGGCAACACTTAAGATAGGCCTCCCGATCGAGTGGTCTGTGTGCACGTAGAATAGAAGGATTCCTCTCGCCGGTTTTGCAGAGTTGGCTGCGTTCTACGGAGGCCGTGTTGCACATGTACGCCATGTCATGTGGTGTTGTTGCAGGTTGGAAACACTCCGCAAGCCACTGCTGTTTTGCCGGTTGCGCGATGCCCGAAATGCATCCGTGCGCCTGTTCCCTGTAGTGTGCGGTACATATTCCTCTCGCCTGTTGTGCGTGCTGCGTGTGCATTATCTGCTTAGTGCTCTGAATATGGCTGCAGGTTTAAATATGTAAAATGTGCGGGAGGATCCTGTTCACCGCTGTCGCTAAAATAGCACTNGTACGCCATGTCATGTGGTGTTGTTGCAGGTTGGAAACACTCCGCAAGCCACTGCTGTTTTGCCGGTTGCGCGATGCCCGAAATGCATCCGTGCGCCTGTTCCCTGTAGTGTGCGGTACATATTCCTCTCGCCTGTTGTGCGTGCTGCGTGTGCATTATCTGCTTAGTGCTCTGAATATGGCTGCAGGTTTAAATATGTAAAATGTGCGGGAGGATCCTGTTCACCGCTGTCGCTAAAATAGCACTAGTGCAGCGGTTGCGCAAGACACCACACCCCCATGAACGAATATTTTATGCTACCGAATTTCTTGCACGTGCGATGCCGATGGCAGCAGTAAAGGTTGAATCGAAACCCTTGACAACGGAACATCATTGCGTACTGGGTTCAAGTTCTGCTCCTTCCCCGCAGCCTAGACACAAACAACGTGCGTTGGGTAGAGGACGACGACCACGGGTAGTTAAGTAGAGACAAACACTACTTGGATCGGAATAGCCAAACGGAGATCCATTAGTCTCTTATCCCAGCACCAGAAGGCAAGGCTTGTTTTGATTGGGAGGAGGAGAAATATCATGCTCAAGATTTATGACACACCCGTGTCGTGCAACCAATCGGTACATCCAACTTGCGACGAAAATTCCTAAGATTGAAACATCAACATTGCTTGCTGAATGGACGGCGCAGGTTATATACGAAGCGTTCCTTAGGAACCAACAGGAAGCGGCGGGAGCTCGGAATCAACCCGAGGAATCTGAAGGAGGGTGGGAGCCGCCTGCAGGAGGGGGCGGGGGGGAGAGAGACACGAGGGAGAGCTGAGTTTAGATGTGGAAGCTGGCGCTGAGGCGGCCCCGCCGACAGGAGAAGTGGTGGGAATGGATGAAGAAGAAACACCAGAGGACGAGGGGGCAGAAGAAACACCTGCGGAAGGGGGGGGACAGAAAACACCTCAGGAAGAGGGAGGAGAGGTTAGGCTTCCCAGCGAGGAGGATGGATCGGAGTCACAGCGTCCTATTGGTGAGGGGCTGCGCTTGCGCTGTGTAAACGGCGCCGAAATACATGTATCTACTTGGTTGGTGTAGGCTACCCCCCACGGGCCACCTAGGCACCCGCATTCAACTTTGGATATTTCAGCAGTTGAGCAAAGGTCGCAAGGGATCCCAAATCCCGGGTCATGCTATCTATTGTTGCGAGCATACATGGTCGTTCATCCTCACCAACCCGAATATGGGGATGCGGGAGAGAGGCAATCGCACAGTTGAAATGCATTTTCATTCTCCCAAACAGCAGTAACTAATGGCAATACGTAAAAAAAAACAGCTCTTCGCCCATACGATTATCCTGGCGCCTTGATCGATTCCCTGGGTTACGTCGAAGACATTGGGAGGAAGGGTCACAGGACAGCGGAGGAAGCGATGATTCGCTCGACGGCATGGACAACATCGGGATCAACCTCGACGGAGACTTTTTGGTGGACGACGACGACGCGTAGCTCATGTGCGTTGGTACCCGGCCGTTCTATTTATGCTGTTTGTGTAGTGGCTTGGGCTTTCGAGTCGATGGAGTTTCCTGTAGAATGAGCTGTATTTGTGCCCTGGTGTACAAAATATGTGCTGAGGTACACCGTATTATCCCTTCACAATACCCGTTCCGTGCGATCGCCCCTTCCCAAGAGACAAATTGGTTCATTGCACCAACACGGCGGGGAGGCAGCTTGTCTTGCATGCCCCTGTACCTTGTGTCCGCCTCGGAGCTTCATTTTTCCTCTTAGAAGTCCGTTCGTTCCCCGGGGCATTCGCAAAGGCAAAGTACAGTATTCGTTGGGCCGGTCTTTCTCTTGTGGAATTGAACCGGCGAACTTTAACTTTGTTTTATCTGTTTTATTTTTTTCCACGAAGACAGCTAACTCTAAGATATATTTCTCTCCCCCGACGCAATTTGTATCTCGTTCCAATGTCCCTGTCACAGCTGAACGGTGGAGTCCACGTCATGACCCAGGGAGGCCTACCTTAACGGGGTGCAGCAGCGTTCGGCTGTTCTACTCGTACGAGTTTGCTCACTACCACGAATTGTTTCGGCCGTGTACGCCTGCACCGTCACACAAACCATGTGCGCCATGTGTTTGCTTTTTTTCCCGATAGTATGTGGTACAGCCTAGGTCAACACTTTGGAGTGTGGTGTGTGTGTGTGTGTTTCGTTGTTGGGTTGAGGGACTAGGTTATGAACAGGAGTGTGTTTTTTCCTAAGATTAATTTCTCTCCCCCGACGCAATTTGTATCTCGTTCCAATGTCCCTGTCACAGCTGAACGGTGGAGTCCACGTCATGACCCAGGGAGGCCTACCTTAACGGGGTGCAGCCGCGTTCGGCTGTTCTACTCGTACGAGTTTGCTTACTACCACGAATTGTTTCGGCCGTGTACGCCTGCACCGTCACACAAACCATGTGCGCCGTGTGTTTGCTTTTTTTCCCGATAGTATGTGGTACAGCCTAGGTCAACACTTTGGAGTGTGGTGTATGTGTGTGTGTTTTTTTTTTCAAGGGGGCGGGAGGTGGTACGTTTTTTTTTGGCAGCACTTACGAGAACGACGACTGCAAGATGACACAATACAAGTGGCCCATGCTTACACTAGTATGCACCATCGAACAACGTAGATGGTATATTGCGTTGAAAACCAAGAGAAACTTGTGCTTTGTCGACCGCCAGTCGCACATGTATCGCGCTCAGCTTAGGTCTGGCCATCATGTGCACGCAGGTACACAACGAACAACGAGGTGGCCTGCTGTGCCGTTGTTCCCCAGCACAAAAGAATTTCAATCGTCGGGCGTCTCTCCGAGAAATCATCATAGACCACCAAGACGTCAGCGCGGACAGGGGTATCGCTGGTAGTGGCCATTGGAGGCAAACACGCAGAAATTTCCATTCAGCTTCAAGAGCAAGTACTTCCGACACTCGCATACAGTTGGGCCATTGCTATGCAACTTTTACATGAGCACACCTACAATTCTAGAGAGCATCGTCACGCAAGAAAAAGCAAATCGCAGGCTTGCGGCCTTCTTCGCCACCCCGCCCTATCTCCCATATAAACCACGCCTCAGTAGAGCTACATCCTCTTCCGCGGTACGTAGCGCGGGGGAGCATCACAATCTTGTCAGGTGCATGTTCCGTCAGCCATCGCCCTCTGGTTTTGGTGGACTCCAATAAAGTCAACCTCAGCTTGAAGGCCACTCCCATACGCCCGACCCGCATCGCCTGTTTCAAAATGGCGAAGGCGTGCTGGTAGGATGGGCTCGTCACGACCCAGTCCGGACGCACCGTTTCCTCGACGTACGCCTCGACAAAAGCGTCTACGATGGCGTCCACGTGGGTGTCTGCGACCAATCTGAGGGTAGGGAGGGAAAGAAAAAAAACAGCGCCGCCAACGAGTTCAAGTTTGAAATTGAACGTAAAAAATTGAACAATTGCCACTTGAGTTGTGGCCAGAACCATGGATGGGTCCTTTTCTACACTGCCGTGTGTGTGCTTGAGCACAGCCTACCAACTTACGCGAACATATCGAATCCAGTGCTTGGTTCCACCGAAGCCCGCCTGACACACACATACGTTGTTTGTTGCAACACGGAGACAGTGTGAACTCAGGACCGTGTAGACTGCGTCTTGGGCGGCGGCACAGCAATCGAGTACCCCACTTTCCGGCTTCACGTGTTCCAGAAGAGCTCGCACCTGAATATCGCGAATGCACCGTGGTGGATGCTTCATCTGTTCTTACTACTGTAGATGGTAGGTGCTACCTGGCAGAGGGAGTGTACGGGCAGCAGAAAAACATTTGAGCGGCGCTCTACAGTACATTATTTATTTTTTTCCTCCCATCATACGCCCCCCCCGGTGTTTGCCATCGAGGTTGGGTTTTCGTCGCTCGGCAACGACGTTGTAAAATAAGCCGCCGCGCCCGGTGTTTT